TGTATATTCACATATAATGTCTTATGGAAAAGTTCTAAACATAAGAAAGATATTCTAATTTCCAGGACTGCCCTGCTTAGTGCTTTTATTAACTTGGCACAAGCTTATCTGAGAAAAGAGAACCACAGTTGAGAAAATGTCTCCATAAGATTGGGCTGAAGGCCAGCCTATGGAGCATTTTCTTAATTTAGTGATTGATGGGGCAGGGCCCAGTCCATCCCTAGGCTGATGGTCCTGGTGTATAAGAAAGCAGGCTGATCCACTAGGAGCAAGCCAGTGAGCAGTGTCCCTCCACAGCCTCTGCATCAGCTCCTGACGCCAGGTTCCTGCTATGCTCCCCTCAGTGATAGACTGTGCTGTGCACCTGTAGGCTCAGGTAAATCCTGCTCTCCCCACACTGCTTTTGGTCATGGTGATTTATTACAGCACTAGAAACCCTAGGCCAAAGACAGAACCTCTTTCTCTCTTCCTTCCTTCCTTCCTTCCTTCCTTCCTTCCTTCCTACTATAAATGCTCAGTCTATAACCGAGGCTTATTACTGGATAGCTCTTACAACTTAAATTAACCCATTTTTATTAATCTCTGCATTGCCACGTGGCTTGTGGCTGAAGCTGTCCTCCAGCATGTCTCCTGGTGACCCACTGACTTCGCTCTCCCCCCCTTCCCAGGATTCTTGGTTTAGTTCCTCCACCTACCCTTATTCTGTCAGCTATGGGCCAGTCAGCTTATTCATTAACCAATCATAGCAACAAATATTTTCAGTGTGAAAAGAGATCATTCCACAGCATTTCCCCCCTTTTTTCTGTCTAATTAAAAAGGTAGGTTTCAACTTTAACATAGTAAGATTACATACAACAAAAACAGTTACCAAGTAAGAATTGAAGTTACAATATCCAGTCCATTTGTTTTGGTGAAATTAGAGATAATATTCTATTATCTATCTTTATCTTGGTGAGTTTAAAGTTTTACATCTAATTTGCCATTTTAATCATAATTAATGAAAACTATGATTATAACTATCTAGTCTTCAACTCCATCAGAGACCCCAGAAGGGTGAAATTTTCCTAATGATAGGGACATCAGGCTACCTAGAGAGTCATCCATAGTTCCCCAGTAATACTGGGGCATCCAACTGTGGCCTACAGGCCTAGCATCTCTGACAGACTTTCCTGTGAAACACGGAACTTTGAAGGACTGTCCTACCTTGTCTAGGCAAGGTTCAGTCATTACCTTTCTTGTATCCTACTGGTCCAGTTTCAACAGTAGTTGTCAGTAATTGAAACAAGGGCAGTTTCTTTGGTAAGTTTTTGTCATAAAGAAAGCAAGCTCCATATGGAGTTTCTTTGATGCCCATCATCTTCTCTGAAGTAAATTGGTACTGAAAGGAACAGATGTGTCTCACTGTCATGAAAAGCCTTACATTATTAAAAACATATTAAAAACCATATTCTATAGGTCTTTGAAGTGTTTGAAGAACATCTATCTAAATTTATCTGTGCATGACCTTGAAAACATGTCCAACATAACTATAGGTGTAACTGTTATAGATGACTATTAATTTGTATTTATACATTACATTTTAAATGAGCTGCATAAACACAATGCCCCAAACAAGAGTAGAAATGTAGATACAGTAGGTTCTAACAAAAATAACCTTAAATTTGTATCAATATACAAAAATATCTTAAATAAGAGTAGAAATATACATACATTAAAAAAATATTAAATTTGTATCAATAAACCAAAATCCATACCAATGTGAAATATGAAAGACTAGTAGTTGCTTTTCAAGTTTAAAAGTAGATTCAAATAATCTTCCCTTTTGTCATATTATTTCTTTATCTCCCATTTTTCTTTTCAGAAAAAGATTCTTGAATTTAATCTCCTTTGTTCAGTTTTTTTCTGACTATTACCAATAACAACTCGTAGCCAACCCCCTTCTTATATAATAATAAATATCCATAGCCCATCCTTTGGGAATATGAGCATAGTTCTCTAAACTACTGCCTGTAGTTTGTGGGCACTGTTATCTTTGGGGGAATGTTGAGAAAACTGGGACTCTGGCGAGCTTGTATACAACACACAGTCTATACTTGTATTAATACAGATATGTCTGTTACCTTTAAAAGTTTGTCTTTTCAGAGCAAGGGGACCAGACGCCAATAAAAATGGATGGCCCAGATGACCCAGCATCCAGAACAGTTTCAAGACTGCTGACTAGGATGAACCAGCCTCTCAGAATACTCCAGCCAAGACCTGGTAGGAACTCTTTCTAATGGGGAAAATAAGACAGTGGATTCCCAGATTCCTTATTTGAAACTCCGTGGAGGAGGCAGATAGGCAGACCTCCCGAGAGGTGGAATAACTTCTCAGAAGCACGAACATGAAGCTTGCAGGGTCCTTTGCAAAGCTACATTGCTACTCCACCCATGAGATCGATACTTAGTGGGTGGTCCCCTTCTTACTGCAGGTGGTCCAATAAGATTCAGATTGAAATAATTCCTAGTGCCCCTGACATCAAGAATTAAATCTCTTTTGGATTCACAAACAAATAGAAATGGAGAAAGGATGAACAGAAGAAACAAACACTTGTGCTTTGAGATTTACAAAATAAAGATAATTAGGAAGAGAGTTTCAATCCTGTGTATATGTATGTAAGTATGTGCCTTTGTGTTCATGTGTGCAAATGTGTGCATGTTCACGTGTGTGCATGTGTATGAGTGTGTGCATGTATTAGTGTTCATGTATATGAGTGTGTACATTGTGTTCATGTGTGCATGTTCACATGTGTGTGGATGTGGAGGCGAGGGGTCAACCTTGAGTACAATTCCTCAACAACCATCTTTTTTTTTAACTTCCTGGCCTGGTGCTCCCTTGTATGTTGGTGAATTGGTGACTAGGTTGGCCAGGCAGGCTGCCCAGCAAGGCTGGAGATTCTCTCTCCCTGCCTCCCAGTGGTAGGGGTTACAAGTGAGGCACGCTAACACGTGTGGCTTTTTAAAAGACGTGTTTCTGGGGATTGAACTCAGGTTTACTGACTGAGCCCTAACACGTCCGGACCACATTTAAACAGCAGCTAAAGTCAAACAGGCAATGGGTTATGGGTATCGCCGTATGTGTAAGTGTGCATTCGGGGACATTATCAAACAGAAGAAGGGCTGCAGACTGAAGATGAGAACATGCATGCATGAGCGTGTGTGTATGGTTATGTGTGTGCACAAGTGTGTGTGTGTTATTGTATATTGTGGCTACAATAAACACCCACATGGAACCTAAGAGGAATGAGGGGTAAGGCCCACAGGTGGGGCTTAAGGTCTAGACTGAGTGGCGAGAAAACCGCCAGAGGGGAGTCTGGCCAATGGAATGTGTCGAGCACAAGAAGGGATCTCGTATTTGGAAGCACTTTTCTCTGAGAGAGGGATGTCTGTGCTTCCTAATTGGTCCTCGTCTAAGTTAGGGTTCTACCCTCCTCAGAAACCGAGAGATGAGACACTATCTTCTTTGATTCTTTGATGTGATTACATCAAAGGGACAGCTCCCAGATTCTGAAGGAAGACAGTCCTAGGCTGTAAAACCATCACAAAGATATTTTCAAAGCCTTCATCTCACAGGAGGAAGAGAAAGGATGTACAGTTCCTACAGTTCCAGGTCTTCTGAATAAGCGCTCTAAAAAAAGAGACACAAGAGGTCCAGGGTCAAGAAGCTATCTGAGGTGTAGCCAGACTGAGGAAGAAAAGGTTCCTCCATCTTAAGGCCTGATCAGGGCTGAAGCACATTGAAGGCCAGTTTCCAGAAAGTTCTACGCATTTCAACCTTAGCCGAGGCCTCACTCCTTCCCTCTCCCACCAAGGACACTGGGAAACCACACTCAGGTGACAGCGCATCTATGTGAGAATCCTATCCATCAGCTGCCCCATAGCTCCAGCCTCCAGGTGCTCCTAAGCTGACCTGCGCCATAGGCTTCTGTCAGATGCACTGGTCAATTTATCTGGCCACCTAGAACCGTGGGAAGTGGGAAGGCACAAAACCCGCACAAGAGAGCTGCTGCGTGGCGTGTAAGTCTCACCTCATACAAAACAAGCCAATAAACGGTAACTACAGCGAGCTGTGGCTAGACATTCATTTCAGCTAGTTCTCACCAGGTTGTGTTACAAAGAACACAGTAAGACATCAGGATCTAAACATGCACAGAGACATGGAAGGAAATCAGTTAAAGTATAGTTTGAATCCATGGAAACTATGGGTAGCAGGAGAAACTACGGATAAGGCGGTAAATGCTGTGGGCCATGTCCAGTGTCTGCACCTTTACCTGGCTTCCTGCCCAACTTCCCTAATCCCAATTCCTTCGTCTTAAAGCATTTCCCATGTAGACCTGAGCACAACGCAGCTTTAAACATTTGCAGCCACTGTTGTGGGACTTGTAGTATTTCACCCCTAGCCAAGCCCACAGGGACAGGACTTATCAGGAATCCTACAGTTCCCACCCCACTGCTCTTAGCTCTGTGAAGGCTTTGGCTCTTCCTGAGCTCAGAAGTGGTCTGTGTCATCATCCCATGCGCTCTGCCTGTTTGTTGATGTGACGCGCCTGTGGACAGGAGCCAGGCGCCTATAGTAGCAACCCGGGAGAAAATGTAAGCAGCTGTGGTCGTGTAATTTAAAACCTCAGCAGAGCGTGCTGGGCTCTGTGCACAGCATTAGTGCAGCGTGCAGCATGAGGGCTGGATGCAGCTGGCTCTCGGGAGGACGTCCTCGCCCGCGGCCAGGCAGAGAAGCCTGAGACTGGGAGGCAAACCTGGGTGCAGCCGGAAAGGTCCAGATAGATGAGCTTGTGGCAGCCGTTCCCCAAGTTCAGGTACTGTAAGCCTTTGTCCGTGAACTTTCGGCAGTAAGCCAGGCTGAGATTCTGTAAGTTGTGGAAGTACCTGGAGTGTGGGGCAGAGAAGGGAGGAAGGAAAAGCGAAGACTTCAGCTTTTCTCCCATCTTTCCCGAGCCACTGTGACAAAGAACTAAAGCTGTGGCTCCTCCTGCCCCCTCCTCGCAAACGGTCAGCACGGTAACAATCGCTGCCTCTGCCTATGAAGTGAAGAATTTAGGACCAGAGCAGACCGTGCATTTCAAAGGAAAAGAAAGAATATCTGGGTAGGTTTTTAAGGAACTTTTAACGGAATAAGACTTTGTCTGGGGGTAGGAGGAGCCTTGCATGCACATTGTTTGAAAGTTAGTTTGTTGCTGAAACCCAAGTCAGAGTTTACCTTCTTGGTTTTCGCTCTTACTTTTGCCAAACTAATTTACAAAAAGTTGAGAAAGATAAACTTCTTATAAATATATAATGGAAATTAACTGTTCCAGCGTGCTGAGGATTTGGGATGGAAAGAAGGCTCCTAAAATGGGTCTGATAAGAAAATGATTTAAAAACCAGAGATTTCGACATGCACAATTTTGTAATGGTTTCCTTATGATAATTAAAGATAATCAAGGCCGATACACATCCAGGGCTTAAGCGTGGGTTGAGAGCATGAGCAACTAAGTGGGCAGCACTTGAGAAGAATAAAAATTACACAGGAGGCTGCCAGTCTCACTTGAGTTCACACAGAGGAAATATGTCACTGCCACCATGACCAAAATGAGAGCTTCCAGAAGAAAAGGAGAGAGTTAGGACGAGTCTGTGCTGCCATGTACGGACCAGGGTTTTGAGGGCATGCTGTGGTCGAGCCTCCAAGCCCTCCAAAGCATGGCATTCTTCAACAACACGAGGACTCTCGTTGCCTGCTCTTACAATTACCAACTCTCAGTTAGGAATCTGTAATTGCTTGGCGGCAATGAGGATGCTGGGAGTGGGGAGAAAACGCCCCTGCCTCCCATAAAGCCTGCAGATCACGTCTGTCTTCACATAAACAGGAGATGAGACGGGCAAGCACTACCTCTAAGTTAGATTTAGTCCAAAACTTGAAAACCAAGCCCATATGATTTAATGCTTCTATTCCGTGGTGGATTACTGATTGAGAACATACGTTCCCCTCTGGGAACGGCTGTGTGCATGAGATTCCACAGAAGAGCCAAGGAAGCCTTTGGACCACAGTGACAGTGGGCTGGACCTGGAAAGAGAGAACTCTCTAACATCCAAAGACACGCCCCCTCCCCGTCCATTTCTCTCCTTGAGCAGAACTGGAGATTTCAGTCCTAAGGGCTCTCTAAAGTGGAGACAGGAGCTGTGAGACAGGCCGTACAGCACCATGGAAAACAGACAAGAATGTGTAGCCTTGATGCTCACTGCAGCTTCCCTATCCTGTGGCTGGAAAGGAAAAGGAGAGCATCTTTTATTTAGGAGTGCTCTTTGGAACCCATTAGAAAACTATGGGGCTTATAGCTTTCCTGACCCTCAGTTTTCCTATCTGTCATGTGGACTTGATCCCATCTGCTGTTGCCGTTGAGAAGTGTGAAAAGCAAGTGAGTGTTCAGATCAGACAGTATCATCAAGGCTGTTATTTCTGACCACTGGAAAAAAAGGAGCACAACAGACTTTGAGAATTTGTGCCTTGTTACTGCTACTACTACTTCCAAAATAACAATATGCTGCTCTTTTAATTTACTGCATGTATGTGTTTACTCATGCATGTCTGCGTGTGTTTGTGCAAGCATGCATGCCTGTGTGTGTATGTCAGTATCTGTGTGTGTGCATGCCTGTGTGTGTATGTCAGTATCTGTGTGTGTGCATGCCCGTGTGTGTATGTCAGTATTTGCCTGTGTGTGCACATGCCTGTGTGTGTATGTCAGTATTTGCCTGTGTGTGCACATGCCTGTGTGTGTATGTCAGTATCTGTGTGTGTGCATGCCTGTGTGTGTATGTCAGTATCTGTGTGTGTGCATGCCTCTGTGTGTGTGTCAGTATTTGCCTGTGTGTGTGTGCATGCCTGTGTGTGTATGTCAGTATCTGTGTGTGTGCATGCCTGTGTGTGTATGTCAGTATCTGTGTGTGTGCATGCCCGTGTGTGTATGTCAGTATTTGCCTGTGTGTGCATATGCCTGTGTGTGTATGTCAGTATCTGTGTGTGTGCATGCCTGTGTGTGTATGTCAGTATCTGTGTGTGTGCATGCCTGTGTGTGTATGTCAGTATCTGTGTGTGTGCATGCCTCTGTGTGTGTGTCAGTATTTGCCTGTGTGTGTGTGCATGCCTGTGTGTGTATGTCAGTATCTGTGTGTGTGCATGCCTGTGTGTGTATGTCAGTATCTGTGTGTGTGCATGCCTGTGTATGTCAGTATCTGTGTGTGTGCATGCCTGTGTGTGTATGTATTTGTGTGTGTGTGCATGCCTGTGTGTGTATGTCAGTATCTGTGTGTGTGTGCATGCCTGTGTGTGTATGTCAGTATCTGTGTGTGTGCATGCCTGTGTGTGTATGTCAGTATCTGTGTGTGTGCATGCCTGTGTGTGTGTCAGTATTTGCCTGTGTGTGTGTGCATGCCTGTGTGTGTATGTCAGTATCTGTGTGTGTGCATGCCTGTGTGTGTGTCAGTATTTGCCTGTGTGTGTGTGTGTGTGCATGCCTGTGTGATGTGGGAAGGTCATCTGTCTATCTGTTGCTTTCATTGGTTAATTAATAAAGAAACTGCTTGGCCTGATTGGTCAGAACATAGGTGAGTGGAGTAGACAGAATAGAACGCTGGGAAGAAGAGAAGTGAGGTCAGATGCAATGGATCCAGCCACCAGGTCAGACGTGCTGAATCTTTCCTGGTAAGCCATCACCTCGTGGTGCTACACACATTAGTAGAAATGGGTTAATCAAGATGTGAGAATTAGCCAGTAAGAGGCTAGAGCTAATGGGCCAGGTAGTGTTTAAATGAATACAGTTTGTGTGTTGTTATTTCCGGGGCTAAGCTAGCCGTACGAGAGCCAGGCAGGACGAAGAGCAGGCCTGCCCGCAGCTCCTTCTACAAATGGCACCCAACGTGGGGCTCGAACCCATAATCCTGAGATTAAGAGTCTCATGCGCTACCGACTGTGTGTGCATGTCAGTATTTGTGTGTGTGTGCACTCACTTACACACATGCCAGCACCCACACATACCGAAGGACAACCTCCACTACTATTCCTAAGATGATGTCCACCTTGTATTTTGAGACAGGGTCTCTTATTGCCAAGCACACTAGCCAACTGGGCAGCACTCCCAGGGACTCTGTCTCTCTCTGATTCCCTAGTGCTGGGATCACAAACTCAAGGACCACCATTGGCTTTTTTCTCTTGACACAGTTTCTAGCGGGTCAAACTCAGGTCTCAGGCTTGCCAGCATCCCAGGCCAACACCTTCACATTTCTATGGAGACTGTCCATCACTTTTTCATTTGAGGGAGTGGATGCTCTGTAGCGAGTCTCTCTCGGTTCCCAAACCACGACACAGAGGCTTATTAGTAACCACGAAAGATTGGCCGAAAGCTTAGGCTTGTTTTTAGCTTCTTATTAAACCAATCTGAGTGACACATCTTCACAGTGTACACCAAGATTATTCCACAACAGTGCTCATCTGACAAGAGTCTGGAGAATGTCATGAGGCCTGGATCTTACCTGAACAATATATATATTTATGACTTTAAGAAAGTATGCTTTAAATTCTTTCATATAATATATATGTATATCCATATACATTACCTATCATTCTACCTCTTTAAACCCATATGATCAGTTAGTAAATATCAAAAATGAGAATTAAGTAAGAGACTTACTTGACTATTTTTACAGTTTTGGTAATCTATAAGGTCTATAGATCCTTTTAGCATTAAAGAATTTACTGTGTGTGTGTGTATGTGTGTATGTTTCTCAGCACTCAAGTGGAAGTCAGAGGACATCTTTGGGGAGCTGGTTCTTTCTCCACGTTGATCCCCGGCATTGAACTCAGGTGGTAGGGAGGGCAGTGTCTTCATCCCTGAGCCATCTCTTGTGTTCCCCTGGATTTCAGTTAAAGCAGAGAGAATTCTCACACCATCAAAACTAGAAACAAGGGCTAGAGAGATGGTTCAGTGGTTAAGAACACTCGCTGTTCCTCCAGCAAACTGGAGGTCAGTTCCCAGCACGGTGTCAGGTGGTTCACAAGTGTCTGTAACTCCGGTTCAATACATCAGTCGCCACTAGGCTCTGCACACACATGCTGTGTGTGCGTGCACACACAGACTAGACATACACAACCTCATAGACACCTGATTGCTTTCCCTTGGGGCAGGAATCGCTGGCTGAAAGTTAAGAGCCTCTGCTGAGGACAAGGAAGTTGTTGGACTAAGTGGCTCCACGGCTCCCAGACTGAAGGTCTCTAGCCAGCTTCCCTTCAAAGTGGCAACTGAGGGACTTCTGAGTGCAAAGGGCATCCTAGTGGCCCTGTGCCCCCTCTAGGGATCTCAGAGCTGCAGACAGACAGCTGTGAGAATGTGGAGACATGCTGGCTACAGGGAAAGTGTGGCAGATGGCTTCATCACTGATACTTCATTTGGAGCTGCGTAAAGAAATGTTTCTCTTTCAGACAAAGACCAGGTTCACAGCCTCTCAGCACAGGGCCCTGAAATTCCATTTCTGATTTGAGAAAGACTATTTATGGTGTGTTTTCTCTTTTCCTAATTATTTGATAACTGTTATTTTATTGAGGGTATGGGTTTCCTTTTTATTTTTCTGCTACTAGTGTAATCTTTATGAAAATACAGAAATTGTTTTTTGTTCTTTCTTTTTACTTCATTTCTGAAGGATTTTATGTTCCATTTTCAACACCAGAGGGAGTCTGTTAGAAAGAGTAAAATACCATATATTCAAATGGAAATTTCTATCTATATATTTCTATCAAAACCACCAAAACAAGGCCTAGTCTAGGAAGAAGCGAATTTGCAGGTAGATTCTTTGAGTTTGGGGCTCTTTTGACTTCAAGAAGCAGAATTCTCTAGAAAATCTAAATGGAAAATGTGGCCTCATAATGAGAGTGAGCGTGAGGTGTCCAGTGAGCACGGCAGCTTGCTGAGGCCACTCCTCGCTGAGGGACATTGGCAAGACGGCATAACAGATAACCCTGGGATATAAGGAAAATGAAAGTCAAAGGGGGGCAATTAATCTAAATAAAATGAACACACACCATTCACGGCAGCACAGAAGGACCCACTAATGGACAAAG